AATAAATAAATAAATAAATAAATAAATAAATAAATAAATAAATAAATAAATATCTGCTTTCTTTCATCAATAGCACAATCATAAAACATCCCATACAGTTCTACCCTGCCTTCAGATTCAAGTGATATTCAGAGTTGTTCACATTGTTTGAGAAACTATTATACAAATAAAAAGCTTTAACTGAGCTTAAGATTTAGTCAATTTACTTACTGAAATAACACAATCTGTTACAGGTTTTTTGAGGTTATTTTCAGCTGTCTCCTTCAGCTTAGTCAGCAGCATAGCTGTTATCTGCTCCACACTAAATAAATGTTCTTCATCCATATATGTTACCTGCAGAAATAAGAAATGGGGGAGGGAAGTAATGTAGTATTTCAAACATGTCACTGTTATTTTTAGATACTAGATTTCCAACACTCCTCCCAAACCTTGTTTTGAAATGTAAAGCAGGCCAATGCTTTTGTTCCATTTCTACAACATTTTCATGATTGGTTTACTTTTTGCTCAGAAAATTGTAAATATAATATTGAAATTTTTACCTTTATTCCAACACTCCCATTTTTCATTGGAACTACACAGTAGCTCACATGCTCTTTTTCCTTCTGAATAAAAGGATCGTTATATGTACGACCATGGAACCTCTTGAAATTATATACTGTGTTGTCAGCATGTGTAATTAGCTGCAAAAGGAGAGGGTAGCATCAGTGATTAACAAAATTTCACACTTCATTTCCCGTTGCTAGTTAAAAGTGTAATAATAAATTTACAGAAGAAAGGAGAGAGGAGGAAATAAATATTTCTAATTTCTTGCCCTAATTATGCTTTTTTCACACTGAAGCAAAGATGAATCTGATCTAGGTGCTGTCACTGTACTATCTCATAGGAATTGGGCAGTTATTTCCTTATATTTAGAGAAAGGCCATGGGGATACACTGGGCCACTAATTTTTGTTTTGACCTCGACAATCTCAAAAGCCGAGAGCTAGGCTTTGTATACGTATATAAGTTTATGTTACAGTTTGGTTCCCGATCATGACTAAACAGCCTTTCTGATCTACTGCCCTCCATATGAAGGATTATATTGGCAGGATACTGGAAATATAACATATTTGGAGGACACATTAAGGGTAGCTGTACTTATGGTATGAAATCTTGGCTACTGATTTAGTTCCCTGGGTTTAGAAAGACAATACAGCAGCACCATGAGTTTACTTTGTGCTTTACCCCAAAAAAGTCACTTATGTTGTGTTTATCAATCACATCACTGTCCAATTTGTATACCAAAGATATAAATACCATTTATCTTGCTCCTTTTCAGAGGGCAACTTACTTGATTTTTAGCAGATACTCCAATTGCCCTGTTTTTGGACCCAAATGACACCACTGATCTGAAAAGAGATATGGATACAACTATCATTGGAAAGTTTGTTCATACAACATACAAAGGTATAAAAACACCAAGTTACTATACCTGGTAGTTCCTTGAAAATTCTGAAGAAGTTCACAAATAAGCCAACAGTGCCAATAGCTAAACAAGCACAATTGCTCACAATGTTACAAAGAGTTATTCTATGCAAAGATTTACATTTTATATGTTAAAATTACCCAAGAATCTTAACAGAAATGCAGCTAAGAACAAATATGAATCTGACAACACTGAGAATTTAAACTGTGTTAAGGACTAGAATTCTCTACATTTGATCCTGATTTAAAGAGAAACAAGTCAAGATTCTGTGGGCAATCCCTCAACTGTTCAAATTTTTTAAGAAAAGAAAAGCTGAAATCAAAAGACAGCTGAGTTCTACGTATGCAAACAGTCTACTAGATTATTATTATAGAATGAAAGCACCACATTTGGGTTGAGTTTGTCTCATCTGTAATGCATGGGCTTCTACTTATACAATACTGATAAAACTATGCTCTGCAATCTTCATCTTCACTTGACTGATCATGTGAAATCATTTTTGGAAACAAAATACACAATGTCATACAGAATAAGTAAAAGAACGTTGTAATACTGTTTTCAAAATAGCTTTGTTAAAATTAAGCCTGAAACAATGAAAACTTATTCTTTACAATCTCTTCTTCAAATTTATTCTAGCTTCAGTGAAGGTTTCTTCTTTTTTAAATTACAGTTTCCAATGACATCTGAAATAGGTGGCTTAAGAGTTCCCCAAGGCCACACGTGGTCCTGAAATATGACTTCATTAACCTCTACAAGTTTCAAAGTCTAATTTTTAATATAAAAACTGGAAATTGTTAAATACGTGACTGTGGAGTAATTATACTAATTTATGAAATTTATATTAATTTCATTTTGTTAATTAAACAAAATGAAATAACATGTAGTTCTTCTCCCCATCACTATGTTTTGAGAGTGACCCCTATATGCTTCTCAAAGCCAAGTGGGTCCTTTAGCCTGGAAAAAGTTATACATCTCTATGTTATATCCTGGTATCAAGAAGAATCAAGGTATATCATATACTGTATTCTGTCTCCAATAAACTATGGTTTATTGGGCTAAGGGTTAAAGCTAAGGTAATTACATTTGAACAATCATATTAAAGTTAAAAGCTATTAACAGGGAAATACATCACTAAGATCAAAATTATAAATACAGCATGTTAATTATATACTGAAATTCTACATACAGGGATAGCAGCTTGCATATCACAGGTCCTCTGATTCCAAGAGTTATCACCCCGTACAATGGGTATATTTCTCTAAACTAACTTTGTCCAATTGCACCCTCTACAAACCATGACACTTTTTCATCTTATTTATGAACATTACCTGTTCCTCCCCAAAATACAATCCATTAAATTCACAATTTTCTTTTGATTTTATAGTGTTAAACACCTAACAGAAGATCACAATTTTAATTTTAAAGAATTTAGAAAAGCACACTTTATCATGCTTGAACAGTATCTTCATGTTTAAGTCAGCTCATTTCATATTCTAATTGGTCTTTCTAAAATTGAATTAAAATAAAAACATTAGTTATGAACTATTTATCAGTGATTCTTAAGAACTCTTGTACAAACCCTAACTCTTGAAAGGAAGAATAGAATACAGATATGTTTTCAAATAACAGCATACAGCCACAGACTCATATCTAATCCAGCATCCACATGTTAGGAATTCAGTCACAGGAAATGGAAATATGTTTGATGTTTAATGTTTAAAAACAATGAAGTTTTGGCACTCTGAAGAATTAAAAATGCATTTGATGCAAGTTTTCTTGGAGCAGGTTCCATTAAGAAATGCAAGATTATAAATTCTGAAACTCTAGGTATTCCTGACAGTGTCAGATCAAGGAATGCACCTCAACAAACTCTGAATATGCAAAGAAGTGGACATCCCAATGTCATGGATATATCAGTCTAACCTTTCTTTCAGAAGACCCTCTAACACCTAGATCTTCTCTCAACTGACCTTGGGCAAAGAAAAATCCAATGTTTCATTTTTTATTTTTTTCCCCTCTTTTACCTCCTATCTTAATCTGGGGATGGAAAACTCCAGAAGCTTCCAGATCCTAGTCGAAGTTGGACCAATCCTATCAGGGCTCTTCAAAAACCAGCAAGCTCCTCCTCCCACCTCCCTCATCACCCTCCACTCCCACTTCCTTCAGAACATCACAAGTAGAGGCTAATTATCCAGGGAAAATGCCTAAGCAACAAACCGTGAAAAGGCACCACAGCAGCATCCCTCCCATTAACTACAGACCAAAGAAAAGAAAAATCAAAATTTCCCTGCCGTACACAGACCCACCAGTCATACACCAACACCCCTCACCGCTGCTTCGGGAGGGCTGGGGTGCCTTTTTTCCCATTTCCCATGCCTGAGCTATGGAAAGGCTTTGACTGATGAGGTGTAAAATAGCCCCGGCGGGCGAATCCATGTGCTTGAAATACGGCGCAGCCATCCCTCTAAAGGGGGGAACGGCCTTCTGCCTCTACGCGCACGGAAGGCAGCATTATAGAGGACGAGGAGGAGCATCCTAGGCACAGCTACTCGAGAGAAAGCTCTACGACGAAACGCAAAGGGATGCCAATCTGAAAAAGCATCGTTATATATAACTCTGAACAAAAAGCAATGCGACGGGGATCAGGGCTCTTAAAAAAAAAAGGCAGCCTGACTGGGAAATCATAAGGAGACCAAAAAAGGCGCATCGTTATATATAACTCTGAACAAAAAGCAATGCGACGGGGATCAGGGCTCTTAAAAAAAAAAGGCAGCCTGACTGGGAAATCATAAGGAGACCAAAAAAGGCGCATCGTTATATATAACTCTGAACAAAAAGCAATGCGACGGGGATCAGGGCTCTTAAAAAAAAAAGGCAGCCTGACTGGGAAATCATAAGGAGACCAAAAAAGGCGCATCGTTATATATAACTCTGAACAAAAAGCAATGCGACGGGGATCAGGGCTCTTAAAAAAAAAAGGCAGCCTGACTGGGAAATCATAAGGAGACCAAAAAAGGCAGCCAGTGCCGCTAGTCCAGCCAGGTCCAATTTCTCGCGAGTAAGCGCCACAGCCACGCCACTGGGATACATTTGCAGCGTGACACTCAATCCCCACAGATACGCGCAATGTGTATTTCAGCGTTTCTGAGCTTGACAAGCCCCGCAATTCAGGACGGAGCCCCCCGGCTCGGCAATTTGCCACCCCCTCGCGGCCCTCCCTCCGTATCCGCTCCCAGCTGCCAGTTACGTACGGGGTGCATCGGTCGCTGAACTCGTTGGCCACGGTCTCTATCCCGCCGGCTCTCGCCACCGCGATGTAGCAGCTCTGCGAGCCTAGATCGAAGCCCACCACAGCCATGACTGGGTAGCTGCACCGGCCGCTCCTGGGAGGAAACCCGCTCGCTGCCTTTCACTCCCACTCAGCCCGAGATGCAGCGGGGAAGAAGCCTCTCGTCCGCTGCGGGAAGGCGCCACCCTCTCGCGCACCACCCGCGCGCGGAACCCGCCACCTCCAGCGAAAAGACTTCAAAATGACAATGGACAGAAGTTTCCAGAATCTACGGCGGCTACTCGCCGGCTCCACGTGCGGCTTCCGCTTCCGCCTTCTCGGGCATTCTCGAACCCTCCCGGCCAATGGCAACGTCCGGAACCTGGTGACGTTATCATTGTCAAGGCGACCTCGGACGCCGCGCATCCCCAATCTTTCGCCGTTTGACGCAGGTAAGAGGCGTGCCCAACGGAGATCCTGCGAGGGCATGCGCTGTTTTTGCTTGCGGGAAGGAGTAAAATTGTCCAAGGCTGGCGCATTTTGGTTGTCTTAGGAAAAAGTTCTTTGTGTAATTTGGGGACTTGGATTAGAATGTCAGTTAATATGTGCTTGCAATTCCTTGGCTTCATACGTTTTTATTTTTTTTAGAAAGGTATTTAACTTCATTTCTGTTCAACTTTATTTCGGTTAACACTTGCCCTTAGGTTGGTGAGTCTGTCATGGTTTAAGTTCACTGTTGGGTTTTTGGTTTTTACACTTACTATAGTTGCACCATCATGGCTTAAATGTAGCTCTTTCATGTGGTTCACGTTCCACCAACCCTTGCCAGTGTAGCCATCCTGGCTGAGAATATTAAATTGAATCCACCTGATGAGTTGAAAAAAGCCAAATTGAAAAGTATTTAAAGCTACAATAATTTTGACAATCCTCCCATATATGTTTGTTTGGAAGTAAACCACGTTGTTCATCTATTGTGGCCCTTAAAAGTCGACACTGACTTGATGGCACATAATCAGAAAGGCCCATTGTATTCAATGGCATTTATTATTTTTATGTATGTTATAAAATTTGGGTTTTGATGATGCCTTAACTGAATATAATTTATTCAGTTAACCCAATTTTCTGCATTTTCACAACATATTGAACTTAAACTAACCACACAGAGTGGACTTTGCACAATATGCTAAGGTAAATGAATGCCACCTTTTTCTGCTGCTGTTTCATTTTCTTAGCACAGTAACTCAACTCTGACCCTATGTTTTTTTCCCTTATCCCTCTTTCAATGCAAGAACTTACTTCTGATCCTCAAGACATTTGCTGCTCATACCTGATGGTGCTTCTGTGGTAGGTACCTTTTGTGCCTGCAGGTAATTCAGGTGGTTGACAACATTCGATGGATTGGGGTCACTTCTTTCCCTTTCAAGTAAAAAAATGGATGGAAGGAGGGTCAGCCTTTTGTTTGTGAGCATTTGAGCAATAGCCTCTGGAAGGCAAACTGCGTCTCCTCCCATCTTTAAACGTTCCCCTCAGGAGGTGGAAAAAATGACCCTCCCTCCAAATATGTTAATTTTCAATGGCATGATTTCAGGCTACTTTTCATGTGGTGGGTGCGGGTGGGTAGTTAACTCTTACATTTTGTAAAACAAAATAAATTGCATTGTTGAACATCTGCCATTGCCATCAAACTTCCAGAGCGTGATCTCAGGATGCTGGAAGGCTGTCTGTAGCCTATGGGTTGCAAGCAGTCCATCTCTGCATGATTTGCTTATCTCTTTTTCTGCTGGCCTGTTTTTGGGCCAGAATGTAGCAAAAGGGTTGTGGATGTCACACTGGCCAACTTCTGTGCTTCATGGGAGATTTGCTAAAAGTCAAAGATCTTGTTCCTGCTGTACTGAAGATATTGAAACTACAGTATACGTGCTGCTCTGCTGCTCTTATTATCAGGCAGTCACCAAACTCTCATTTTCCCCCCTGCTACCATGCCATATAGGTCAAAATGAAAGCCTGCTTCTGCATTTTCTCTTGTCTGACAGTTCATCACATATAAGGTAGCTAAATTTTGTGTGGTGGCAATTAAAATTTGCAAACAGATAGTCAGTGGACAAACGCAATGAAAAACTTTCTTTTATTCAATATCATAATTACTGGTATTTGTTTTAGTCCTGAGATTTAGTCAGTCTTAATAGTCTTAATAATAATCTGTTTTATCATACTATATTATATTTATATCATTCTACATCCAAAAGTTCTTTAAGAACTCCCGTAGATCTGGTATTCTCTGCTTGTTTTTTATTACTTGCCCTCTTTTGTTTTTGTTTGGATTTTTTGTTTTGTTTTGTTTTATACTGGTCATTGACTGAAGTAAAGGAATTTGGTTTGACATTGAACTGTTTCTTATAATCTTAAGCCAAAATTGCATCTAGTGCTCATTGCTGCCACCTTAAGCATCTTGCATGTCCCAAGTATTCTTTCTGTATGATATGTCTAGAGTTTAAAATACCATTGTCCATATTCAGACTCAACAATATTTTGAATTTTTCCCTTCTGTTTATTGCTCTCCCCCCCGCATACCATATGCATCTATAAAGTTACATGGTGGCAATCATAATATTTTCTTAGCCCCTACCTGGGAAATCAAAGATTATAGGCTCAAAAATTCATTAAAAGTTAAGACAGACATTTATGTAAATATACTATTGCTTCTTGACCTGATTCCGTAGGTTAGAATTTAATTTAAATCAGTTTGTCATTTAGTGCCTGCACAACCATTCACCATTCTTTCTCTTAAATTTCTATTTTGAAGAAGTCCTGATAGGATTTATATTTTATTTCCTTGCAGCATTAACCAGGTCTGGAATTCTTTCTGTTCTTCATTGCTCTCAAAAACTTTTCAAAAATTAAAACCGATCCTTTATTATAAAGGATAGTCCTTTATTTTAGAAAGCTGTCCTTTAGATTTATTCATTTTTCAAAAACCCACTTTTGTCCTTTACTTTGGTCATTTAACTTTTACTGTACAAATGGTGCCACTTAACGCATAGTCTTTCACATTCATGTGAAAAATATGTAAATTGAATTATCTTTTTAAAATAAATTTATATACACTGTTTGATTTTAGATATTTTTTATTAGAATATGCATTTTTGTAAAGTTTTTCTTTTGAATTTTCCTTTGTAAAGCAAGGTTATAAACATAAACAGTTAAAAATTATCCTTATGAACTTCTTTCAGGTTTGTCCTGTATTATTTCCAAGAGAATACGGTCACCGTACCTATAGTCTTTAAAACCATCTAGTTTCAGGTAGCATTAGGATTCTCCTTCATTATAAATGTTTTTAACAGTTGTCTATTTTTCTAAAATTTGAGGGTCCTCCTGGATTGACAGCTCCTGCTCAAAGAGCAGGTGGCAACTGTGGCCAGGAGGGCTTTTGCACAACTACATCTTGTGTACCAATTGCACCTGTTTCTGGATCAGGATGCCCTGTTCACTGTTGCTAATGCTATTGTCACCTCCTGGCTGGACTGTAGCAACACGCTGTACATGAAGCTGCCCTTGAAAATCCTCTGGAAGTTACAGTTGGTCCTGGATGTAGCATCTGCCTATCCCACATGCTCTAAAATTAGGAACATGCTTCAGGTCCCTTCCTTGAAACCATGCCATCTGGTACGACATAGGAGGTGTGTCTTTTCTATTGTGGCTCCTGTCTTCAGGGATGATCCCCAGTTAGCAAATGGTTGGCCTCCATCTTGTTGGCCATTATAAAAGTTCTTAAAACCTGGCTTTTTCCTTGCACGTTGGGATTGGAGTGCATAGGGTGATTGGAGTTCCCATCAGTAGATGGTAATAAATTGTGAGTTTCTGATCATCTATTAAGCATTGTATAGTTATTTTAATTAGAATTCTTTATTCAGTTTTTGTTTTTTGGTTTATTGTAAGCTACTTGCAGTGTTGGAGTTGGGCCACTATATAAATTCTTCAAATAAATAAATAAATAATCTTTGTACATATCCTTCCTTCATAAGTTCTCTCCTGTTCAAGTTACAACTTCTGAATCCTTGACCAAATTCCCTTTTTCTGTCCTTCGATCTACTTGCCAACTTATAGGACTATAGCTAATTGGATACCTAGGCAATCCAACCATAGGATAAAATGTAGGGGATTCAAACCTCAGACTGCTTCAAAAATACATTTGAGAGTGCCTAACACCAACATGACTGCACTTAACATTTATATAACTTGGCAGATTTTAGTATTTCATAGAAAATGTCCACTGAATGTTTGGAAAATACTGGTTAAAGAATTATGAACCTTAAACACTATTGTTGCAGAAAACACCCTCCACCTATCTTTCTGAAGTTTGATAATCTTACCTTCACAGAAGGGGGAACCATGCTTGTAAAGGTTAATTAATTGTGTCAAAAAAAGCAAAAAATCTTCTCAACAGCATTTTCTTTAAAAAAAATAAATAAAGATATTTTACATCAAATAATGCTACAGTTTTTCTTAAATGTTATTAAATGAGTAGGTCTATTATCCATGCAATTTCCATCCATATCTTACTTATTTCTTTCTTTTTAAAAAAAATAACTTCCTTTTATAGACTTGTATAATAAATCAGTGGAACAGAGTTTTGCAGCAGCCTCTGAGTCAAATTGATCAGTTTTCTGAATGTGTTACATCTTCAGTGTTAGTATTCAGTGTCTTTTGGTATATGTTGGTAAACTCATAATAGGTTCATATTAAAGACTCCTGTGGTGGTTATGGCAAAAGTTATAGTATATATTGATAGCAGAAAGTCTGTCTGAGACTGTATTTCCTCCATTTATATTTATGGTAGTCTTAATGATACATTTTAACAACGTTGCAAAAGTTGGCTCCTAACATCCTTTTCCTTTGCAAATTAACTGTGACTTTTTAAATTAACAGTTTTATAGATGCCTTCAAGGAGCTCAGGGTGCAATAGTGTACATATGGTTATCCCCTTTCCCCCAATAATGCATGAGGTAGGCTTGGCTATGACTTAATTACTGATACAAAACCACCTAGAATGCTTCATGGCTGGCAGGAATTTATATTACATTAGCTCTAATCAGTGTTTCTCAATCTTGCAACTTTAAGACCTGTGGACTTCAACTCCCAGAATTCCCCAGCTAATATGGTGGCTGAGGTATTCTGGGGGTTGAAGTCCACAGGTCTTAAAGTTGCGAAGTTTGAGAGACACTGCTCTAAATCCTCCATAGTGCATCTAGTTGACATTCATGCATATTATGTATGGCATTTGAGTAAAAATGTGTAACATTAATTGAGTAAATAATAGAAGATAAGAATTGCACTAACTTGTTCCTTCACTATTTCATATAGACTTGAAAAGAAGCTATTTCAACTCATCCTGTTTATTTTAATAAGACCTACTTTGAAGTAATATATTCAAGTCTTTTAGCATAAGCAGTCC